TTTAACAAATAAACAAAAATATAAACATCACAAAGATATTTAATTCCATAACATAAAAAAACATATATTCATGTATCATATTAAATATTATAAACATCACAAAGATACTTAAATCTCGTAACATGGATAACATATATTCATGTATCATGCTAAATAATTATTTAAATATCACTTAGATAATTTAAATAATAATTAGAAAAATAAACAATATTACTAAAATATTATTTATATTTTTTTATCATAATAACAAATATTATGATAATTTCAAACTAATCATTATTTAATGGTAAACATGAATACCATATAAATATTTAAAAACCATAATAATAACAAATATTATTATTAGTCAAATAATATGAAAGAAGAAGATATAATAAAGAGATTGGTAAAATCATTTGTATCTTCTTCACATTAAAATATTTATTTATACACTAGATAGGCAACAAAACCTAATTATTCCCCCATATCATTTTTTTTTTTATTCACTTTATGTCATCTTCATGATTACATATTCATGAATGACACCCATTCTAATTTAACACTTAGTTAATCAATAGAATGTATTTTACGTAACAAATACATAAATATATTTGTAAAAAAAAAAATACGTCGGAGGAATAAACGGGCTCTGATACCACTGTTAGTGGTTTTATATAACACATATATAAATATATAGGACTAACCTTTATGTAGCGGAAGAGATTACTTGCCCGTATATCTTTTATCCGACGGCTACTAGAGTCGTCAGTATCCTCAACTTTCTAAAACCCGAGCCGCCTTGATGGTTTCGACTCAACAAGAGATAAGCACTATATAAAGATATTTGTATATTTTCCTAGTTTATTTCTTTGTCTCGTAGTGTGTCTTTTCATGATGTACAAAGCATCATATTTATACTTGTCTCATGGAACTCAAATTAAATGAAGACTTAATACACTTCTCATAACTCCATACTTAATGGAGATGAGATTGTAACACCACCACATTTAAGTGGATGTTACCAATTGATGCAACTTAACATCAATTAAATACAATAGAGATCATCTTTCTCGAACGAAATGAAGTGATAGGAAGAGAAGATGGCTGGCGGGAGATCTCTACTCATAAAACCCCCTAGCGGGGAAGGGAGGATGAGTTTTTTTTTTTTAAAAAAAAAATTTATAAAAAAACTCGAGCTTATCTAACAAGCTTCTTTAGGTAGTCTTTCAGATAAGCTCGTTGAAATTTTTATATCAGCCAATTTTACCCAACACTTTTATCATATAAGCTAACTTATCAGCTATAAGTCATAAGTTATAAGCTATAACCTAGAAAATCACCTATAAGCTATAAGTTAACTTATCAGCTATCCACTCGCTATTAGTTTTGCTGAACATTGCCTATTTTAAAAAAAAATGCACTAAATATATTTTTGTTCTATATTTTGTGCTGATTAATAGGCTCTCACTGGACATTCAAATTGACTACTTCAATATTACAAGGAAACAAATTGACAGCTTGTTGGGCCCATCGAAGGCAAGACAGTATCTCCACAAGAAGTCCATGTTCTCGGTCACAATTGGGTCCAATGACTTTTTTAATAATTATCTGCTGCCTGTGGTTTCAATGGGCACAAGAATTACACAAAGCCCAGATGCATTTGTTGATGATATGATCAAACATCTAAAAGCCCAACTTACGGTGCTGTAATCACTTCACTCTCCGTTTATGTACTTAATTTTGGAGTAAGCAGCCCAAAAACTGAAATTTTGATCGACTGTTTATGTATGTGTACTCTAACGATGCAGAGACTCTACCAACTTGATGCCCGGAAGGTCGTCGTGGGAAATGTAGGGCCGATTGGTTGCATTCCTTATCAGAGAGCAATTAACCGATTGGACGAAAGCAAGTGTGTTTCGTTGCCCAACGAGCTCGCACTTTGATACAATGCTAAGTTGAAGGATCTTGTTCAGGAATTAAATGAAAATCTTGAAGGAGCCACTTTTGTGCTTGCCAATGTGTATGATCTTGTCATGGAACTCATCACCAACTATGCAAAATACGGTAAGAATAGTTGCTTTCGTGATTCTTTCACTTGATCAATTATAGGTGTAAATGAGTTGTTGAAACTTAGCACGAGACAATATGGCAGGATTTACAAGCGCGAGCAAAGCATGTTGTGGCGATGGGGGCCCGTATGCTGGGATAGTACCGTGTGGACCTGCTTCGAGCATGTGTAAGGATCGAGACAAATACGTGTTTTGGGATCCATACCACCCTAGTGAAGCTGCTAATGTCATCATCGCCAAGCAGCTACTTGATGGAGACGCAGGATACGTATCTCCTATTAATATACGTGAGCTTTGGAATCTTTAATTTCTTTTAAGTTCGATTTTCGTGAACATTTTTTTACATTAGATTGGTTTCGACTTCAAATAGTTATAATTGTTTGACTTCATGTGTTTTTATGTTACAAAATGATTAAGTTGAATTGAAAAGTGTAATTTGGATTGTATATTTGTGGTCATTGGGCAAAGTGCTATCAAATATGTGGTTAGTTACTAAAAAAAAATAAGAAATTCAAGTGATTCTTAAATAATACGAAGATTTGGAATTTTATTGCGATAATTATTGCAAAATAATTTTATTCAAAATTGATAGCAGTTGATTTTTTTTTTCTTAGTTATAGAAAGATGTTCTATCAACAGAATTACACGATTTACAACAGGTCGATAGAAGTTGATTTTCATTTTCTTACTTATAAATATTAAAGAAATTTGTACTATATTTCCTTTAATAGTACGTCCATATATTTAACTACAAAGTCAAAGTTATTATTTTAGATTATTACATCAACCTCTTTCAATATAGGCTAGTGAGAATCCCGTGCGATGCACGGGGATTTCGTAACTTAAAATACTTTTGCACAACTTTATTTTGACAATGTATTAGCCCGCGATCCGTTTATATTACACTACAAAATAAATGTTATATTCCAACGGAAAATCCTATGGTAATATATTCTAATAGAAATTTCAACGGATATTCCAATGGAATAGCTTCCGTTGGAATAGTTCCAACAAAAATTTTAACGGAAATATTCCGTTGGAATGTGTTTTTCATTAGAATATAGATGGAATTTGATGATTCCAACGGCTATATTTCCAACGGCTTTTTACCGTAGGAATTTCCGTTGGAATATGCCAATTCCCTTGGAATTTTTTTCCCACCCCCGTTGGAAAATCCACCGTCGGAATCGTCAAAATCCAACGGAAATTCCAATGGAAAACTCATTCCAACGGAATATTTCCATTGGAATTTCCGTTGGAATCCATTGAAAAATTCCAACGGAAATGATAGTATTGAAATATCCGTTGGAATTGCCGTTGGAATAATTCTTTTGAAATAGATTTCCATTGGAATTTCATCATTTTCTTGTAGTGTTAATAGAAATAATATTTTAACATATAAATTTATTTTTTAATACAAAAAACTAATAATTTTACATATTTAGGTTCATCATAATACTCAAATATTATTTTATTCAAAAATTTATTGCCGTATAATGTTAATATTATTTATAACACTTATAGAAGTAATTTTCCTTTTTTATATAATGATAATATTTAATATATATTAATATTATATATTGATGTGATTAATTTAAATTATTTAAGTAAATCTAATGTTTGTTAAGCATGTGATAGATCTCCATATTTTAGGTACAAATATATGAAATATATGTACAATTATATGATATGCATATCTTGAGATACAAAAGAGATTTTTATGTGATTTATTACCTTAATAAATTAGCCGCAGTTACTTGAATTATATCTTTAAAAACATACCATAAAATGTTTAAATACTTTTCAGAATTAATAAACAACATTTTTTTTGGCAAGAAATAGTTATTCCCTCCTATTTTTATTATTTGTCGTTTTGAGAAGCAACACGCTAATCAATATTTTTTTTCTTGCCAATATTAACCCTATTTAATGGATATTATGGGAAACAATGGAGATGAGATATGAAGAGACACTGTGCATTAGATAGAGGGCTAAAAATGAAAAAATATGAACAAAATAGTCAAAACGACATTTATTTAATCAACGATCAATTAAGCCAGAATGACAAATAATAAAAATAGGAAGGAATACTATTTAAAAAATAATCAAACATTTATATAAATATATATATACATATATATAGATTAATAATAGAAATTACTAATTAGTATACTAATAAGATTAATAAAACTATAATATTTTAATAGATAAATTTATATTTGATTAATATCTCAATTCTACTTATAATAAAATCTTACTATAATTTCTATTAGGAAGGCTAAATCCCCCTATATATTAATATAGAACGCGCTGAGCCTACATGGCTGCTTCTGGTGCTTCGGAATCCTATGTGGCAAAATTACATGCTTCGTTATTAGGCTTGGGTAAATTTTAATTTAATTCCAAACCAAA